CTAGGTCTCATCAGCACCACCAGCAGAACTCGAGCCTAGGCAGTACAGCATCAAGTCTCGACGCGTTAACCACTACTACATTATGCCATAAGTTTCCTTGGCTCACAGGGCAAATTTACACTTCAACGAAGGCCAGGCCTTTTCAAATATCAAATTCTGTGGTTGGATTGTCAATTAAGCAAACTATGATTTGCCTTAGCAATTGACTGCACTACTTATTTTTCGAGACTATCAGTAGATCAGATATTAAAAAAATAAGTATTGTAGTCGAAGGCTATAGCAAATACAACTTTGCTTCATTGATAATCCCACCAAAGAAAGTGATATAGGAAATGACCTGGAATTCCTTGAAATCCACATCTGCCCTACGCTCCCAGGACACTTGTGGCAGTGCGGCGTAGTTGTTAACGTGTCGAGTTTATACGCTGCTCTACCACAACCCTGGCCCGATTCCGGCTGTGGGTGCTAATGGGATCTAGGCAAAGTCGAAACTGCCGTCCATCATAGATGGGAATAATACTCGAGAAGCAAGGCTATGTGAGATTCAATGGGAACGTATGGTCCACTCATATCATTGTGGGAAAATTAAACTACTAATTCTTCGTATGTAATAGGGTGAATACATCTCATTATACTAATTCTTCATCACCTCAACGAAATAGAGTAAATGCATATAATATATGTGATCTACTGGTAGTCTCTAAAACCTACTTACCAAAAAAAGTAAGATCCTTTCACTTGTATGAAATTTCATTGTTTGCTCTTACACTAGTCTAAACCAACTAGGGTCATAATACTTCCTTTTATGTCACCTAAAAATGGTATGACAAAATATCTGAAGTAGATGTTAATTATTTTGCTTGTTATAATTTATCTTATTTCGGAAAAGAAATCTAACTTTTCCGCCTAAATGTATGCATAAAAAGTCCAAAACTAGTTCTAGGCTCCAACTCAACGCAGTATTCGTGACAGCCTCGTCTGTTTATAAACTTTCTAAGCCCTTGGAAATATATTACAATTTAGATTTTGGATTTCAACGGGCAAAATTTATTTATTTGTCCTAATTTTTGTCTTTTTAAACAGTTGTGGAGCAGCTTAAGCAATGTTGTTTTATGTCAGAAAAGTATCCGTTGAGTATTTTTTGATTTTTTAAGTATGGAAGATATCAAGGTTTTTCGTTAACTTTTCTAAGGCTTATCATGTATTCTAAGTACCATGATTCATGCAGAAGTAATCTAGCCACTATAAAAAAGCTGCAAGCCACGTAAACAATTGAAGAGCAGAGTCTTAAATAAAAGCAACAGGATTAAAGACTTCAATTCCGTCCCAGATCTCTCTTAAATTCATCAAATTGCTATATTTAAGATAAAGAAGATGTTCAGAGATTTCATGGGGCCTAATAGAGTCCCAATAATTAAATAGGACAATCTTTAATAGTGCTTTTTAAGAACCCGATCAGTACACTTCAACGGAATTTATGGACGCAAGTCGAGTCGACTCCATTATGTAATTATAAAACCTGCAAACAGCCTAGGCTTCGTTGATAATTAGAAGCGTCAGGATTAAGCCGGCCAAAGTCAGATGCACTTTTACTTTTATATTGAATATCACTACTCCTTTTGGGCCTCTGTAGTCTCTCCTCAGCTTTACTCTTCAATCAGCATTCGGATGCATTTAACTAATTAGCCATATAGGTACTTAAATCTCACGGTGAGGGTGGTTTGTTGAAATTACCATTCATAGTAATCAAGGTTGCCTTTTAAACAAACTTAGAGCAGAATTTAGTGTCTTGGCGTTTGATTACAATAATAATTTTACAATGCTTTAGAAGAAAGCTAGTAAAAACTAACAGGCATTAAATTTTGTATTAATATCTTTTACTATATTACAGATTTCTGGTCAATGCGAATGCAAAGCAGACCGTAGTGGAAGAAAATGTGATCAATGCAAGAAATTCTATTATGGAGACCCTCGGAAGCCAGACGGTTGCATGCGTGAGTCACCTAGATAAGAGAGCATTATGTATCTATATAAATATTAAATAAATTTACTAAGATTTCCTTTCAACACCACTTTAATTTAGCAAGCAATTGAATATTAAGAATATTTTTTCAATAAGTATTTTCAATGAAGGTTTGTGATCCTATAACCCGTTTAATTAAAGTTCATCATTAGACTAGGACGAAGTTAAACATAGTCCACAAAATGACTCATATTTGGGCATAATTAAATTAGGTGAAGGCCTAGACATGATTCATATTCACAATTACTGTCGGAGGTTGGACGACCTAATCAATACTTTTAATGAAGGCGGTAATAGATAAAAGGTGGGCTATTTGGCCATCTAAGGCTCCATCTAATCTGGAAAATGTTGGTTACTACGAGGAACTCTTGGAGGCATCTTACTAAATTTTCGTTTTTTTTCTAATAAATATCTGCCTTCACATATTGATTTCATTATTACTATAATTACTCTTTCCACAATTAATTTGCTTTTTTCTTTGTACTCAGCTTGCGATTGTGATTCTTATGGCTCGTTGGGTGCCCTTTGCGATCCAATTACCGGCCAATGTCCTTGCAGCCGTAGCGTAGCTGGCCGAAGATGCGACAAGTGTGATAGAGGGACTCGTGGCCGTTTGCCCCATTGTGAACCGTGTGGTCAGTGTTGGACAGACTGGGACACAGCTCTAAACAAGGTCTCAGGTGAGGCATGGTTGTTGGATGAGGCATCGCTATAACTAGCCAGCCTCTGCTTCGATTGGAGCACAGGCGAGAAGTCGTTATCAAGGCCTTTAGTCATCTGAAATTTCGCATTTGTCTTGACGGGGTTTTAGTTTGTAATACATTTAAGAAAAGCGAATAATATAGATAAAAACGTGAATGAAATAATAAGGGGGGGCGAATATAAATACTAAATGAAACACCTACATAATTTCAGTTAGCTTACTAGCTATTTCAGCGGCTCAAATTTATTCTTCATAGGCTTCAATCAGGTTTCCAATGCACTCTATAATTTCATATCAATTCTAAGCATATAGACTCTCATTATTCTAATGCTTTGGTCACGGGTGAATAGATATGGGACAATGCTCCCAAATAATACATAAGAGGTCATACTTCCGAACGATAAAATTTATTTTTAGACAAATTCAGAGCCGAATAAAAGGGAGGGTATCCAGGACTTTTCATTTTTACCTCCTAATTAATTGATGATGAGATGACATTGTGAGTTCTTTCCTGAATTATTTTACTTATCACATCAATTATTTGTTTGCTGAGCGAAAATAGTGATTTTTTACTTATTAAATCTGAGGAAATTACTTAAAATTCGTCACAATTAGGTAGCCTTTTGAAGCCAACTGAACCTAAGTACGTTGAATCTGGAGAGAAAAATTATTCGTTCCTATTTAATCTAACTGAACATTGACTTATTTATTTTATACATTAAATAAAT